GCGGTTCAGAGGATCAGAGGGATCAGTTCCTGGCTCCTCTGCGGTGCTCCCAAGCTAACTATTTCATCTCCTTGAAGCTCAGTAAAACAGAGCTACTGCTCCTGCTTTTCCCCCCACAATTTGCTTGTCTGCTTCATTTAGACAGTGAGCTCTCTGGCAGGGGTTTCTCTTTGCTGGGTGTAGGAGAGCTCACACATACAACATGCTAATTCCACCAGCGCATACAAGTCCTGTCTTTCTGCAAGTAATGACTGATGGCAAGAGAGAGGACAATTCACCAAATTCATTAGGGCACCGTCCTCACTGCCACCTCCCGCGGGCTCTGCCTCCTCCAGCTCTACACACAGATGTGAACTGACGCAGAAAAGACAAACAAAATAAAGCTAAACAAAATGTTTAAACTGGTTTCTCTCTTTTAAGGATCTTTATGCATTAGACCTAGAACCATACCGCTACTCTGGAGTGAACCTGACCGGCTTCCGGATCCTCAACGTGGAGAACCCGCACGTGGCCTCCATCATCGAGAAGTGGTCCATGGAGCGGCTGCAGTCAGCGCCCAAGGTGGAGCTGGGCCTGCTGGACAGCGTCATGATGGTATGAGAAATTTCAACAAAGCGCAGGTGAAGTCTGGGAAGCAAACCAGACTGGGAGGGAAGGCAGATCTAAATGTTGTATTTATTGGTTCTTGTACTAGTAATAGCTAATCGCAGGCATCTTTCCCAGTGTAGTTACTTGCGCGCTTTGATAATTGTCCCTAAAATGCAGCGAGTTCTTCTGGTGAAACCCCTGCAGGGCAGTGCCTTATTAACACTGTCCTTTTGCAAACCCAGCTGCAGAGAGACCGCCACTTCTGGGAGACGACGCTGTCATCTTAAGGATGCAGCCAGCTCTCGTCTCCTCCCCTCCCCTCTCTTCTTCTCAGTAAAAAGCTGACCCCAGGACCCACAAAATTCAAAGCTTTCAGCTCCAGAAAGGGGTGAGCTGGGGAATGCTGAGCACAGCGGGGAAGTGCCCTGGCTATTTTGTGCTGGGAACAGGAGGAGAGGGAGCTGCAATCAGCTGGATATAGTGCCCCGTGCTAAAGTGCAGCAGGGTCTGTCTGCAGTTGCCTGACAGGCAGATATAGCGAGCGCTCACTGACCTGGAAAGGTGCCAGCTATAAGTGCCACAACCCCCAGGTACCTGGCCTGGAAAGGGAATTCTCTCTTCCAGCAGTCTTGTTTCCAGGGCAGAGCAGGGTCATTGCCATGCAAGTCTCTCCACCCAAGCCCAGGGAACAGCACGGGGGACTAGAAATGCTCGTATCCCATGAGACGAGCCAGCTGCACGGCTCTCCGCAGCCTTGCATGCATTCAGAGCAAGGGTGAGAATTTCCCCAAGCGATTGCTAAAAGGTGGTGAACGCCCCAGCTCGCAGGGACTGGGAGAACAGCGCGTGGCTAGACTGGGCCAGGCAATTCATTGAGATTGAGTTAGGAAAAAGCAGTCAAATCCATGCCCAGAGATGGACTTTGCTGCCGTTCTGATGAGTCCTTTCAGGGTCTGATGGCAGCTCTGCTCCGCTGAGTTACTGCTCTGAAGGTCCAGCACCTGCTCGCCCATCTGCCTTCCCTGCGAGGCTGTGTCCGACCCCCACAGCTGCTGCCTGCCTTCCTCCTTCCTCCCCCGCACGCTGCCAGACCCCTACCCAAAAGCAGCACAGCCTCCCAGACTTCCACCTTGAAGCGTCTCCCTCGTATCCCCCTTGGTCTTTGTTTCCCTTAGAGCAGAGCCCCGTCATTCTCTTTTAGCCTTTTGCTCTTCCGCAGCGTTGCCTACCATTACAGCAGCCTATTGCCTACGACACTGCACAAGTTACTTTCCCTTGAGCTGCCCCTGGTTCCTCTCCCGCTGTCTCATCCGTGCACTTCTTCAGAGGGGATTCTGCCTTTCACGACGTGCTCGTACAGTATCTAGCCCAGCGGGGCCCTGATCTCAGCAGGGCATTACAGTATGCAATTCACCATGAAATTGCTTACACATACTCTTGTACCCCCCTTGCCCCCCAGCCCCACAGCTGATGCAGATCAGGTGCCTGCTCTTCACGCTCGGGTGGGAAGGGAAGGGAAGGTCATGGGGATGGGTGCCAATGCTGGACGATTTTCTCCATGGCCACGTTCTGTTAGATATTTGCCCTGCTGTTTGCTGTGTTATTTTGTTTTGTTGTGCTGCTGCTGTACTCACATCTGTTTTTCTAGCGTTGTAGAGCCAGCAAACAATGTATTTCATTAGCAGAACTTACTACATCGGGGTGAAAAATAAATCCAATTCTGTTGGTCAGTGTTTGGAGGTGAGACGGGGCGCCTCTAACTGAATCTAAAACTATTACATTATACGGAAGGAAAAAAAACCTCTCCCCAATTCAAATCACTGAAATGTGGACAGATGCTGCAAATCTGTGATGCTGTAATTTCAGCAAAACTTTGGGTCATTTTGAAAAAGTCAGTCTGCCCATGGACTGTCATTTGACTTTTCTGAAGTTTCTCATTTCTCTACATATAAAGTAGTCTGGATAATATTTTCCCCATTAGTATTTTTAAGTTAAGTGTAGAAAAAATGGACTACATAAGAAAATCCTGTTACCATATTCTGCATATAGAAATAGCTACCTTCTTTGTTTGCCAGTGCAGTAGTAAATACATTAGAAATACCCAGAACAGCTGCACACAGACAGATGACATTTTCACAATCTATGATTTTAAGAGAGAACTGTGGTCCCTTAGTCTAAAGAGCCACGTAACAGAAAAACACCTGTGCTCGTTAGGCTTTGTCATGTGCAGAGGTACATGTTTTGAGAACGTACTTTGCAAGAGAGGTCAGCCTTGAGGTTCGTAACAACCTCATCGCGTGTTAAAGTGAACACATCCCTGGCGATCCCTTGAGATGCCGGTGAAAATGGGCCACGCTACTGTTCCACCTCGTGCCTGCAGTGTCCGGCACACCGAAGGTGCCTGGGAGCTGGTCACAGAGCAGGAGCCCGGTCCTGCAGCAGAGCCTGATCCTACTGGCCCAGAAAGCTCTGCCTTTGCAGGGCTGTTTGCAGATTTAGATACCAAGGAGGTGAGGAGCTAGGAAGGATTGAAACAGAGAAACGCTCGTTTCTATCCGGTGTTGGGCAGGTTGGTGATTCAGAGGGGGAAATCTTGCAGCTTCTCTAGAGATGCGTTGCAGAGTCCCTATTGCTTTGCTGTGTGATGCTTTCTTGCTGTGGAACTGTTACCAACACAAATTCTGCTCCCTTTTATTTTAGACAGATGCTGCCCTGTTGTACGACGCAGTTCACATTGTCTCAGTGTGCTACCAGCGAGCCCCTCAGATGACTGTTAACTCCCTGCAGTGCCATCGGCACAAAGCCTGGAGGTTCGGTGGCCGCTTCATGAATTTCATAAAAGAGGTAAAAGCATGATGTGCAACCATAATTGCTTCCCACTAATGCAAAACTTCCACAGCAGGAGCAGTGCAGCTGCTCAGAGTGCAGGTACGGCGGCACGTGGCAGAGGGGTTCTGCAGTTAGGGGATTATAAAAACCCTCCCCTGCCAGGGTCACTACAAATGGATATACATCAGACTGATGACTTTACCCAGAAGGCAAAAATTCTGTGTGAGAGAAGAAAGCAAAGATGGTAGCGTACCAGCAGGTGCTATTTTACATGAAATAGCCCAAAAATTAACCTTAAATTTTCAGGGTGAAATAATGCTGTAAGGAAGCTCTCCTGACTTTGAAGTCCCTTGACAGGGAATTCATGTGGCAAGTTGGAGTAGCTTAGGGGTAGCCTTTTGACCCAGAAACCAAGAAGCCCTGATTTCTATTCCTGGTTTCCCACCCAAACCACTGTGTGACCTAGTGCCTCCTTCTGCACCTCCCGAACCAGGATACAGAAGCAATGCTTGGGTGCACAGGTCTGCTTTCACTGATGACCCTTAAGGGAATTATATCAATTGTGTATGTGAGTAAGTGTCCAGGCCAGGCTTGAGGACTACTTATTTAATTGTAATGGTATACTACTTTGCCTAAAGAAGAGATGGCACTTGGCGGCTTAGCATCTTTAAAGCATTTAGCTATTAAGAGCAACTGCCCTGTGTAAAAAGGCCAGCAATGGGCATCTGCACCATCTACAGCATCTTTGCCTTCAAAATAACATCAGTGCAGCCACAGCAAAACATCCAAAACAAGCTGAAATCTTCCACGGTGTCACTGAGACATGCCCTTGCCTCCTCGTGCGTCAAGAGCAGCTGGATCACTCTCCTTACGAGGCCGCTCCTAGCAGAGCAATAGCCTTTTGCCTTTTACAGGAACGTTTGCTTGGGGTCCGCAAAGGGCATTCAGCGCAACTGAATCCCGGTGGCAAAGCTGGCAGCGCTGCGCGGCTCTGCCTGCGCACCGATGGACGGCTCGGGCAGCGCGGTGGAGGCAGCGAGCAGGGAGCCAGGGGAGCGAGGAGGCGGCTTCATTCTCTCTCTGCTTTGACTCACTGTGATTTTTCTCTGTTCAGCCCCTATAACTGTTTGTTTGCATCTGGCAAAAGCATGCAAACAGGCTCAAGCCGCAGGTGTTCCTGAGCAATAGCTCACCAAGTGAGTGCAGCACAGGGAAGCCGCAGCGAGGGGTGGCCGGGAGCTCTCCCAAACGGGGCCCCT